GGTTCCCAGGCGGGAGGCGGGAGGCGGGGGCCGAGTGCGCCCGCGCAGGGCCCCCTCGCCGGCGGCCCGAGCCCGCGGAGCAGGGCAGGCAGCGGGGTGTGTCACCGCTCCGGCGACCCTCCGCTCCGGCGTCGTAAATCCAGAGACCCGGGACTTTGATGAGGCGGGCGGAGGGCACTGGAGCGATGCCACTTTGGGGGGCAGGGAACGGGCTGGAATTTCGGCCGAGCTCTGCGCTCCCTGGAAGAGAAGATTCGGACTTGCAGGCGTTCTCAGGGCTCCGGCCGCCTCCCCCCACAGCCCCGGCGGCCTGCAGGCCCGAGGGGGGCTGCTCGGGGGTCTCCCCGAGTTTACCCGGGGCTCCCGCCGGCCGTGCACCGGGTCCGCAGGGAAGGCGCCGCCTGCGCCCCCGCCTGCCCGCGAGACAAAGGTGAGGTCAAGTCTCACCTGTTAGGACCGCTCTTCCATTGACCCCGCCGCGCACACAGTTGAGATCTACGCGGTTTTAGGGAGCCCACCCCCCCCCCCCCCACCAGTGGATCCAGCCCGGGGAAGCGATGCCACCGGCTTGTTTTGGGGACGCCTCGACAGCGTCGGTATGAATCAGTAACCCGAGCTGTTTCCTCCTCCGGGGCCGTGGACCTCAGGAAGGTCTGAGAATCCCTTTGCCCTCCCAGCCCACCCCAACAAGCCCTGGGTCCACAGAAGACCGGTTTCCTTCTCAACTTCCCCTCCCCGGGCCTGGGGGTGGGCGGGGGATGCCCTGAACCTCGGCCAGCGCCTCCCAGGGGGCAGAGGTGGTAATTAACCAACCGACTTTGACCCTTGATCTGCAGGGATCGGTGGCACCGCCCCAGGCCTTGTGGGGAAGTGGCTAGTGGGGGGTGATGAGGGGCCCTGTAAGGACTCTTGCCTCAGTTTCCCCCTGAGTAAGCAGTTGGAGACAGGGGTGTGGTGATGAGGTCTTTGTGGCCTGACCCCAAAAGACCCAGGGACCCGAGTGCTGGCGGAGAGGCTGGTTCCCAGCTTAATCTTACCTCAAGTCCTGGGCCCCTTTTCTACATCCTGCTTAAAACAGCACAACGTGCCAGAGGACCCTGATGGCCCCAGTGGGGAAACTGAGGCAGAAGGGGATGCCCCAGGGAGTAGACTTCAGGTGTGGGCGGGGACTCCGATTTCTTGCTTGGTGAGCCCCGGAGGGCTGTGCAGTGCCGGTCCGGAGCCCATGTCCCCGCTCACCTGAGCTCGGCTTGTTGCCTCGCTGCTCCTTGGGATCTGATAACCTGAACTTGACTGTGTGAAAGGTGAGCCGCCTGCAGGAGACGGCAGTGCTGTTATTTTTAGTTTATTTCACATCCCAATCAGGAGCAGATCGGGTGTTGACTTTTACAAAGGACAAAGACATTCCGTTTGTTACAATCATTGACTTCCTTGCCTTCAGTGATTTTCCCCAGCACAGTCCTGGTGGCCGGCGGTGGCAGTGGTGGGGGACTCCGTGCCCAGGGGCTGCCCATCAGTTGCTGGGAGGCTTAGGGGGGCGGGTGGCCCCTGCGGCTGCTGCAGGATCATCCGGAGGGGGTTGGGGTCCAAACGCTATGGCCTGAGGGAGAATATGCACCAGTCTCTTCTCTCATTACTCCGTGGAGGCGGGCGAACCTGTGGGGTCCAGCAGGGGGGAGAGGTTAAAGGACCGAGGTCACAGAATTTTCCCACAGTTTTTGGAAATCCGGGAAGGCCATGTTCTGTCTATGCTCGGGTGGCTGAGGTGGCTGGAGGGGGTGTGTGGTGGTGGCCTGTCCCCGGCCTGAGCCATTCCATCACCAGCCAACCATGACCCCGGGAGCTGCCCGGCACGTTTCCTTCACCCCACTTCACAGGCTCACGGTACGTTGTGCCCTATAAGCACTGACCTGTTCCCTCTGAGAGAGGCACTGGGAACAGGGCACTGTGGGTTCTAACGTTCCCGTCAGGCCCTCTGGGCCCCTCAGAGCATCACAGAGATGCCTGGGAAAAGGATGTTCACTACCCAAAGCGCTGGGCCCCAGCCTGGCACCTCTCAGTCCAGCTTAACAGTCACAATGGCCTTTCTGAGGCCGGAGCCAAATTCTAGGGGGTCGAGGTGTCTTCCTCCTCAACCTGACGCTCCCCCCAAGGCTGAGGGGAAAGCCTGGAAGGGGGGCCTAGGAGAGTGGAAGGCAGTCAGAGGCAGGAGCCAGCACCCCCGTCCCTGGGAGGGCTGAAGGGAGAGTGGGCGGCTTTTTCCTTTGCTGGGCCAGTGTTGGTGGCGTACTGCCTAAGGCATGTGACTGCTAACCAGAAGGCTGGCAGTTCAAACCCAGCAGCCACTCCTTGGAAGGGAAATTGGGCCATCTACTTCCACAGAGGTACTGCCTCAGAAACCCAAGGAGGGGTCGCTATGAGTCAGGACCGACTCGACGGCAGTGAGGTTTTTGAGTTGGGCCAGTGTTGACTGTGGTGATGGTGACGGTGGAGTGATGGGAGTCACTGCTGGTTTCTTGAGGAAGAGGCCAGGCACCTGAGCCCAGTGGGCAAATGCCACCTCTTGGGCTGATGGGGAAGGGCCTGCTTGAGTAACAGCGACACAGCCTGGCTCTCTGAGGCCCTGGGAGCAGGAGTGAAGGGCTCCCAAGAGCCGAGCAACCCGAGGGGCCTAAGGCAGGCACCAGCACCCCACTTGGAGCCCTGGAGTTACAGATCATCGACTGGGGAGAAGCCCCAAGGAGGGAGAGGGCTGAGCGGCAGGGAGTGGAGCCTGCTTGGCCCGGTGGAAGTGTGGGAGCGCGGACAGCTCTCATTCCAGGCCAAGCCTAGAAACTCCGCCTCAACCCTAGGATCCCAGCCCGTGCACGTAGGGAGAGATTTGGCCCAATTCCCATCCTTCCTGGAAGGTGCTTGGTCAGGAACAAAGCCCGGCCCTGCTCTCCAGGGCTGGGAGGGGGCAGCCAAGCACTGTGGGCCCGGCCGGGCGGCTAAGGGGCCTCCTGCCTGTCCTCTGTGGGGACCAACACCTGAGCAGCCCAGCTGGCTGTTTCTTGGCATCCAGACTGTTTGTCCCAGAAAAAGCAGGTGAGGATGGGAGCGAAGTCAGGTCCTTTGCATGGATGGTGTGTGGGGGTCTGCGTGGAGTCCCCCAGGCGTGCTCAGACCTGTGCTGGGGGGACAGAGCCAACGGAAAGCCTGGTTCTGGCTGTACAGGGCTGTCCGCGTGGGATGAGGGCTGAGATGCCCGGCTTCACCTTCCCGGGGATGTGGAGTGAAGAGCTGCTGGGAAGAGGGTTAGTGACACTACCCAGAGGAAAACGTTTGGCAGTTTGCAGGATGGGAACAAAAAGCCGAGAGATAGGCCCATTGTGTTTCCAGAATGGCTCACATCTGCCCATTGGCCAGAGCTGGCCTTCTTGCAGGCACCTGCTAGCTGACCTGTGGGACTGGAGGAAAGGGGCCCAGGGAACCCTGCGCTTATAATGAAATGTCTACAACTGACCTGGCTCCCACCTCACTTTCAGCACTAAGTTAACCCGCACCCCCATGTGGTGGGCAGAGGGCCACAGATGCTGGCATTCTCCAATCTGCTTCAGGAGAGCTGGGCCCAGGCCTCTTGCCCAGTCCTGTTCCGAGGCCTTAGATGGGATAGGACCTGGCTCTTGGTCCAAAATTTAGGTCAGTAGCTTTCACTCCAGGAGAGAGAGGATTTTCAAGGGATGGCAGGGGGAGCCTTTGCTGGAGGCTGCCCTGGACACAGCCACTGGGCTCTGTGTTCTGCTCTGGCCCTGCCCTCCACGTGGTCCAGGTGGAGGCAGGTTGGGTGAAAGGAGACCCCACAAGCCCCCTGAGGGAGCAGGGAGGAGGCCAGCTGGTTGGGCCTTGCCACACTCCACAGCTGTGGGCGGGTGATGAGTGGCCCCGGTGGCCACCGCCTTGCCGGAAACATCTAATTAGGCACAGAGCAATACAAGCACGGGCCCGACCAGTTCTGCTTCCTGCTGCCTGTCACTCAGGGACAGTTGGTGACAGTAGCGGCACGCCATGAGCATTCTCTGTGCGTGCAACCGCAGCAGGACACACTCATGGGGGTGGCTGGGAGACAGGTTTGGCAGGGGTGGCAGGAGGCAAACATCCCCACCCTGGCCCCGGGTACTGCCATGCTGGCTCACTCCTGGTCCCAGTTCCTCGGTGCCGCCTGCAGGAAGGCATGGGTGGGAGAGGCAGGCAGAGGAAACGGGGGTCCTCCCAAACTAGCTTGGACCTCAACATGACCTGCCCCTCCAGTGGAGCAAGGGAACTGAGACAATGCATTGTGAACCAGCTAACCCATACCTCAGGAGTCCTGATGGTGCAGTGGTTAAAGCGCCCCACTGCTACCCAGCCACTCCGCAGGAGAAAGATGAGGCTGTCCGCTTCCCTAAAGATGACAGCCTTGGAAACCCTCTGGGGCA